GTATACTTATGTAATTTTCTATAAAAAATGCATTTCCAATTATATTAAGTCCTCTACATACAAACCAGTTCCAGTTCCAAGAGTGCGTTAATAAGTCCAATTTGTTCGTAAGTTCAACAAATTTGGCCTAGATATCCAGCTAACACAATCAGCTATATAGTGCTGCACTATAACAGATTTATAATACTTTTCACACAACTAATACAAACCCAGAATACAGTACTATACAGTAAAGTACACAAAAGCACACAAAAGCACAACCATTTGCAGAGAATGGATGGATATGACTATGTACACTAGATGTGTGAACTAATTTACATCATTAGACACATGAATGCATGTTCACATTTTTGAAAGTTCGCAACTTGAAGGTTCATATGTAGGGGACTAACTATAATTGTATTAGTATAATGTAGAATCACCTGTTGTTCATAAAGTTTAGTGTAAAGCAGTGCTCCTGTTTTTGGGCACAAACTGGAGAAATGTACATTTTGTCACAATCAATTCCACTTCCATGTTTACACAGAGCTGTATATATTAAAACCCAAGCAAATGTGCATTGAAATACTGTACATATAAACACAGTATCCTCTTCCTCTTGAGCTTCCTGATGCTCACACCTAAAAAAAAATGCCACAATTTCTCTGGTACTTATGTTTGAGACCAGGCTTATCACAAAACCAAGAAAAAAAAAAGTTCTGGAAAATAGTAGTTTCCAGACCTGGGGATTTTATAAACCAGCCAAAATGACAATTAAAAAAAAGTTTAAGCCCTTTGAGAAGTATCAAATAAATATGTCCTTTTATTTCAATCTAAAATGTGAGCATGATGTCCCTCTTCCATTTAAAATGTCCTAGTGATTTTCCGCTGCAGCCAGAATAGAATCTAAACCCCTTCTCCTGGGTCTGTGAGGTCTACATGGCTCAGTCCTGGCACTTCTCATGCCTCCTCTTTCCTCCCTGCTCATGCTTGGCATCTCTCTTCCTGGGGACATGTCACTCTGTTCCCATTGGAGCCTGCACCTCTTTAGTAAAATGTTGTCCACCCTCCAACCTGCCCCTGCCCCCAGATCTTGGTTGGCTGTTTGTTATTTTTTAAACTCCATGTTACCTCCTCTTTGACCACCCTGGTCCAAGCAGTCACCACAGTCACTTGCGAATGTTCCTTTGCTGAATACACTAACAGTGTACTAACCTAGATTATTTTTTTATTGGTTTGTCTGCTTACTATCTACTTCCTGCACTAGAATGTCAATTCCCAGAAGTCAATACTCAATTCACTGCTCTATACTCCAGATCTTGGAAAAGTGCCTAGCATATAAGAAGAGCCCAAGAAATACTGATTGACTGGCTCATTGGCTATGACTGAGATTTAAATGAGAACAGTGAAATATCCTCAGCATAGTGCTTGGCCTAGTGTTAAATGCTCCCTTCTTTTTATAGAATGTAGAGATTGTTTTATTGTAGAATGGAATGGTAAAGAAAAGTGTCATCAGTGGGAAACAAAACTTTTGCTGGTCCTTAAAAAATGAAGAATTAGCCGGGCTCAGTGGCTCAGTCTGTAATCCCATGCCTTGGGAGGCTGAGGTGAGTGGATTGCCTGAGCCCGTGGGCTCGAGACCTGCCTGGGCAACTTGGTGAGATCTCATCTCTACAATAAATCAAAAAATTAGCCGGACGTGGTAGCGCACACCTGTAGTTCCAGTTACTTGGAAGGCTGAGGCGGAAGGATTGCCGGAGCCCAGCAGGTCGAGGCTGCGCCCACTGCACTCCAGTCTGGGCAACAGAGTGAGACTCCAACTCAAAAAAAAAAAAAGAAGAATTAAGAAGGTACATTTGAGGAAGGGCCAAAGATGTACAAACACGCACACACTCTGGGGGCGCCAAGACAGTTGAGTGGGTACACAGTTTCTTTCTAGGAGCTGGAGAAAGATTAGATTTAAGAGCTAAGAAATTTAAATTTTGCTGTTTGCCCTTGGTAACACAAATCACAGGCAAGTCAAGCAAAACAAATCCACTTAGATCTATATTCTAAGAGTGCTGCACTGTAAGAAAAGGGTTTGATCCCTGCTCTAACGTTATATATGCCATGGCTGGTCTTGGAGAACGCCGTAATCTGACTATCCCTTGGAGAGCCTCACCCTTCTATGACATATTAAAGTCTCTGGCTCGGGAAAGAAATCGTAATTATGTACTGAAATCAGCCAAGATATTGGCATTTTCAAGCAAACAACAAAGGTACCTGCTGATTTCAGAGGATTGTGGGCAGGTTAATCCATATACCACAGTATTTATCAGGGAAAGGCAGTAGAAACAATGCAATACCAACAGGCAGATCTTCCTTGTAATTACTAAATATTACATAAAGTATCTGGGATTTTATTTAAGGCATGAGAAGAAATCAGCTGAGAGAAAGTACACTAATTCATCAGAAGTAATAAAATTAAAATGACTAGGTGTCTTTCAAGGTTTGTAAGATAAACCAAACGTGAGCAGAATCATAAAAAAAAATGGGTCAGAACACACTTGGCACTCAGGATATTCTTTTAAAAATAAAATAAAACAACCCCCTTCAAGATCCTTCCCCTTGGTATCCCCACATACAGGTGAAGACAGAGAGAAGAGAGTGGTTCTGAGTGGGAGTTTCAGGCAACACCGGGCCCCACCACCCAGAGTCTCTTCCTTGCATCTCTGCTCCAAGACCCCTTCTCAGGACAGGCAAGCCGACCTCTGGACCAGGCCCCCACTGCCTCATCTCACCTTCCTCGTGCTTCAAACTCATGAGCAGACGAGTTTCTGATATCCTGGAGGGCTCAAGGAGAGATACGAGGGGAGGGCTTCATGCCATACCCCGCACTGTACCTCAGGACCTCAGCCCTCAGCTCTTGGACTCCACTCCAGTCTTTGCTCCTATGGTCTCAGCTGCCCTGCCTTGAGGCTTCTTCCCCTTAATATATGCAAACCCGCCTTTACGGACATACCCCTCATGTCCCACACGAACTGAAATACCCAAGCAATCTGGACACACCTCCCCACACCCAACATTCCAAATAGTTCTCTCTTCTCTTTGAGTCAAACTCCTTCAGAGTAGTTAGCCTTTATCTCAACTTCCTCTGTCTTCAATCGGGCTTCCTTTTACAGTAAGTCCCCCTACATACAAACGAGTTCCATTCCAAGAGTGTGTTTGTAAGTCCAATTTGTTCATAAGTCCAACAAAGTTAGCCTAGGTACCCAACTAACACAATCAGCTATATAGTACTGTACACTAACAGCTTTATAATACTTTTCATACAAATAATACATTAAAGAACACAAAAAATAAAGCAAATATTTAAAATCTTACAGCATAGTACCTTGAAAAGTATAGTAGTACGGTATAGTACAACAGCTGACATACAAGGGCTGGCACGACAATTGTATCTTTGAAAGTTCACAACTTGAAGGTTTGTTTGTAGGGGACTCACTGAATCCCAAACCTGCTTCTGCTGGTCACTAGGGGCCTCCGAATCACCAAGTGGAACTGACAAATTTCCTCTTACTCTCTTCTTTGTATTTAATATGCCTCTCTTCCTTCGGTTTCCCAAACATCAATCTTCCTCCTCTCTTTCTTACTGCTCATTCTTGGCTTGGCTTCTCTCTCTGCTGTCTTTTTTAACAAAAGACCAAGGCTTCCAAAAGGATTGGACAGTGGCCCCTAAAAATCCTTCACTTTCTCCTGGCAATCTTAGCCATCTTTGCAGAATCAACTATTTCCTGCTTAGTGAAGAATACACAAGCTACACTCATCCCAAGTCTCTTCCTTAATTATCAGATGCATATTTCCAACTGCCTACAAAGATAATTAAACTCAAATAGGCAGAGCTGGGATTAGAAATTTGTTTCATGCCTTAACCATTCTCCCACACAGTATCCCTTCTATTATAACTCTTATCACACAACATGGTAGTTGCTGACTTTTTATCTGTCCCTCCCAGGAGAGAGAGCCTCATGGAAGACAAAAATTCAGTTTTACTCGGCACCACATTCTCAAGTCCACCATGGGGTCTAGAACACAGGTGACACTCAATAAATGCTTGTTGGGTGAAAAAAGGAGGGTAAAGACTCTCTCTTTTTCACTTCTGCATACCCAGCATGTAGTAGGAGCTCAATGAAAGATTGATGGAAAAAATAATTTTAAAATGTTTTTAAAAAAGGGAGAAATACTGAAACAAAGTACAAATTCTTTTCACCCCATCATAGATGAACAGAAATAATGTCTTTTTTGGGGGGAGAAACTTCAAGATTTTCCATACTGCATCTGGTTGCACCTATAGCTACAAAACAATATATTTGCCTATCAAATATTATAAATATATTTGTATTATAAAGTTACTAAAAACTACTCTCTAATCATTAATCAAATTAAAATGTTTTATTAAGATATTAAAATTTTATACACGTTACATATATGATATGTATTAATCCAATCATTGTTTTAAAAAAATGAAGGACTAGATTCAAGGTGCTCGTGTTTTGCGCTAAGATTAGGAAGTCATCAAGCACTTAAAAATATGAATTCTAATGATCATTTCTATGTTTTTGTTTGTTGGATTACACAAATACATTATGTTTTAAATGTCAATTTCCTATTCAGGAATACGAGATCTAGATGAAGATCTTTATACAATTTCAGCTATTTCCATAAAAATACTGAGTTTTAACCTGTGAAGAACCATTCTGTCTTAAAGGATGACTTGGCTTTAGAAATATGGCTGTTACAATTTTTGAAAAAACAAACATGTTTGAACAACACTTTATAAGCCAGATGTGTAGTGCCAGCCTTGGCTAACTTATCTGATAAGCCCATGGCAACCCTGAGCTAACATACAGACTGTTATTTTGTATTACACAAATTATTTATTTCTAATGATGTATTTGTATCTTAAGACATATTCAAAAATATCCCCCAGGCCAAGCGTGGTGGCTCACACTATAATCTCAGCATTTTGGGAGGCTGAGGCAGGAGGACTGCTTGAGCCCAGGAGTTTGAGACCAGCCTAGGCAATATAGCAAGACATTGTCTCTATACAAATAAAAAAATAAAGAATAAAAAAAAATCCACCAGAAGTGGTGGTGCACACCTGTAACCCCAGTTACTGGGAGGGTTTGGGCTGAAGTGGAAAAATCCTCTGAGCCCAGGAGGTCAAGGCTGCAGTGAGCCACAAGTGTGACGGAGCCTAGGTGACGGAGCGAGACACAGACTCAAAAAAACAAAGAAAGTACCCCAATTCTGGCCTACTCTTCCAAGTGGCCAGAGCAGTTAAAAACTCATCTCTCTTCTTTCTCCACTGTTTCACACATGAGTCAGCTGGGGCTCCAAAGTCCCTCACATGTTCCCTCCCGCCCTTTCATGCTTCTCACTCAGTCAATGTACCCATTTTCAAAATCAGTTGTGTCACTGTTTCCCATTAGTATGGATACTAATAAGCTAACTATATGAAAACAAATTCCCACGAATGATCACACAAACACAAATCTTTTGTTAAAGTCCAAGGAACAGAGTTAGCTTCATAGCCTCTATCTGGCTGGCAAATAAGCTCACATTCTAATCAGAATTTCCTTATCTCGGCCATTTCATCAGTGGAGTAATAAAAACTGCCCTGGTTTCTGAGCTGCCTCTACAGAGCCTACATTCTAGATACTATGCCATCAATGGAGGGCTCTGCTCCTCAAGGTGTCAGCATCAGGCTGAACTGGAAGTACAATTCAGTTCTAACCCACTGGCCCGCAGTTCTAAACTCTTACTTACAAACCAACAAAACTATCATCTTACAGAAAAAGTAATCAAACATGTATGCTCTGGATTAAAAAGTTCACATGGATAAATGTAACTACATTATTTATTCCTATAGCTATTCAATTTTAACTCTCCAGAAAAGCACACGCATATGCATGTCTTTAGTAAGAAAAAATAATGCAGCAGTCTTAGTCTGGACACTCTGATAAGTGGAAAGCTTAAACTCCCTTGTCATAAAGATACTTAAGCTTTCTTTGGATTTCTATTTCCATTCTCTGTGTTACTGTACATCTTGCCAAGTTCCTTCTGGCTCAAGAATGTCTGATGATAGGTCTTTTCCTCCTAGATCAGTAAGCACCACATCTCCGCTAGACAACACTAAGGGTAACTTCTTGACAAGGAATTCCCCGCCCTTTTTCAACTCAATTGTTTCAGTCCAACTCAGTTGCTGGGTTGACAAGGCCTCACTTTCTGTGAGTTTCTCTGAGCATAGAAGGAACTGCTAGTCACACTAATTATGACCCATAGAATCTGATGAGAGAAAGTAAAAGGCGAGGGTCGCCTGATGTCAGCAGCAGGTTTTACTAATGACATTAGAAACAAAGTCAGGCAGGCAATTTTCTACAACCCCAATTTTGAAAGGGGCCAACGGAAATCCTTTAAAAGAATTGGTGAGCTAGACGAGAGGCCTACAAGTTTTAGATGCCCTCGCAATTGAGAGGCAGCGATTGTTCACACAGATCATATTCATGCAACTGGTACGGTTTACCTGACTGGCCCTGACATTTCTGAAATGCATTATAGGATTGAGTCAAAGGAGATAAAATTTCTTCTGAAAAACAAAACACCTACCCCCTAAAAAAAGATCAACTCCTTAAAGCCATGAGGGGAGTCAAGCTGACTGTCATTTTGACCTTGCTTTGCTCTAATTCAGGAGACTACTTAGAAATGTACTGAGCAACCCCTTCCTTCGGCTCAGCTAGCAGAGCTAATAGGCTTCTAATTAATTTCCAGAAGATTGCTGTTATAACTAACAGGTTTTAAACATTTGGTTGATTGGGGAAAATGAATTGAATATAATGTATTTGATTTGGAAAATTAGTTTTCATTCTATGTGCTTACCATAATAGTGTTTATTTTAAGTTTACATGATTCCATTAAGAGTCCCAGAACACCACAGGGTTGTTTCCATCCTTACAGAGTCCTAAGCAACTTAAAAAAAAAATCAATTTACATTTAGATTTTTGTTGGCCTTTATTTGAGGGCAGGTTAAATTCATTTTTGTGGCTTTAATAAAAATCTTCACTTGCTAATACGGCAACAGGCCCAAATACTTCAAAATGATCCTGGCGATACCTCAGTCAAAAGCCCACTCATTGAATGCAAATCCCCTCCAGAAAGGCTCTGCACACAAAGTAAGATGAACCAGTTACTGCATTGTTTACTAAGTTTCACTTGATTCCTCCTGACAACCATTTAAACAATGAATGTTGGGAAATGTCCCTCAAAGAATCAACAACAATGGCAGGGATCAGAGCTTTTATATTTAGCTAACACTATTTTTAAAAGGAGAAAATATTTCTTCCTGAAGGGATTATGGGAAGCCTTATTAAAGACACCTGCGAACAAAACAAGTGACAGTAGATCTTTATCATAATTGATAACTGAGTTATCCTTTATATAAAACTCCTTGGTGGAGACAATAACATTGAGATTTATCTTTGCTGTAGATTCAAGAAATCAGCTAATTGGGACCAGCAGTATTCAATAATGATAAGTTTACCAAGATTATGTGGGTGAATAGTAAAAAAGACTCTTGTCTCTCTGTTTAAATAGAAGTACAACAAGACCAGAATTTTCTCTCCTCATGCCGATGAGAATGTTTTATATTGACATCAAGTGGCATCCATCCCTCTCTCTCCATATGTGACACAAAAACAAATGAGGGATTCTAATTATGACGGCTCACTCTGCTAAGCACACAGTGGGCCAGCCAGCTTTGGAAGCTCACCCTGAGTTGTTACAAAGAAACAGAATCTTTAGCAAAATCTTCCTGAAGTAACTAACAATCAATGTCAAAATGTGTATTTACAGTCATCTGCATTCTATGAAAACCATGAAGCTGTTTTAAGGAAAGACTGCTTCTGGGGGTAAAAATAACATAGCTAAATCTGGCAGGACACGTTTTCAAAATAAGTTGGCATTAGGGGGAAACAAAAACAAACCTGAGGTCCTTGTTTGTAGTAAAAAATACTCTACCAGTGAGTCTCGGCTTCTTTCACCTTGGTAAACAGTGGATACCTTCGCCCATGGGCTATGCTGTTTGCAGTCACATATTCACTGTTGCCTTTCTGTATGACTAACAGGAATTCCTGTAATCATTTCAAGCCTATGACTGATTTTTCTGACATTGCCAAATTAAGTAATTTTGGCTTTTTTTTTTTAATAACAGTGACTCCAGAAGTGCTCTAAGGCATTTAAGCATTGGGGGGAAAAATGGGTGTGTACGGGGGCCACCAGGATCAAGCCAAAATTGCAGACCCCAACTGTAGCTTTTCTACTTCTTGGCCTTAGACTTAGTTAATGATTAGAACGACTGTAGACTGGCCTTCGGAAGCGTGAAAAAGGTTCAAATCCATGAAGTGCTAGCAACAGCGGCTGGGATTTTAGAATACGTGCAGCTTTGAATAGATTAATTTCTCTTCCAAAATAAACACTTGGAAAAAAAGAAACTTCCCCAGTCTGAATCTCTGAAAAGCAGACAGAATTAAACAAAAAGAAAAGAAAACAAAACAAAACCACATAAGTAACAATACTGAATAAGGAGATGAGAGATGAAATGACCCAAGACTATTCTTTAGAACCTCAAGTTCACAGACAAAATAAGTGCTTTATTGAAGGCATTCTGTGGGATTGTTGGCTTTTTTTTTTAAAAGACAGCTTAAGTCTTGGAGCAATCAACGGGTGAAAACAAAAAAGACATTTTCTGAGATGACTTTGATCCTGTACTCAAATTGGCTTAAATATCTTTGCCTTTAAAGGCTTTGTATCTGCAATAACTGCTCTCTATTGTCCTTGTTAACAAAGTATTATTTTCACCTTATTATTACTAATCTTTTCTTTGTAAGTAACCACACCTGGTTTTATCCCCCCCCAAAAAAGGTGCCTAAATATTTGCTTTTTGTGGTAATACAATGCATAATTTAGTTAATCTAGGCTATCTTTCCGTGAGAGGTGATTGTTTCTATATTATGAAATGTGTTCACAGTAAAGCGAAATCCACGCCAGATACCTGGGAGGCAGACGGAGAGCCACTTACCAAGCATGTAGCTGCTGTGAACCAACCCTGACACAACGGTGTAAGCCACTCCTACACAGGAGGCATTACTCATGCTAACTTAGCCTCCTAATCATAACCACACCTTTCTTCTACAAACATGGTCTTTTATTAAGTTAACATTACACACTGCCAGGCCAAGAGCCCCACCCCCGACCCCCATGAAAAGTCCTTGAAAATATAGTGTTCTATTTGAGAACTTGACATTACTGTTAACATTACCTGGATGAAATCTAAAAATGTCAGGGGCAGCAAATCATCCAAATGTCCAATGTCTTTGGAAAAACGATTTAAAATTCTTCCTGCAAGAACAGGATATGAAAAATTACTCATTTCCCCGGATAGACCCTTTAAGAGAAACAATTCACAAATCAAAACAATATTTTAAATGCATATGTATTTAATATATTATGCATTCATATTAAATAAGCCGATGTCAGTTGTGAAAAAAAAGAAAACATGATGACACCTACGGAGAAACAAGAATGTCACCAAATGGCATTGGGAGGGAATTGAAATGTGGCCCTGATTTTTAAAAGAACAGAGGAAAAAATCATCCCAGTGTCAGGAGGAGTTCCCTCTTAGATGCCATCCAGGACATCAACTCAAGTGCCAAGTAGGTAGATGAACAGCTGCAAACTACACACGTGAATCCTAATTATTTCACTAATGTTGCTTGAGTTATCACAGTGCATTTTGCTGTGGTGTATTTTAAAATAAATTTAATTGTAACCTCTCTGTTTGTAAGATGCCCTCTCTGCTCATGACATCTCACATTTTGGGGAAAACTTGGAATCCTTACATTTCCAAGTTGCAAGTTTACTACTGGAGTTCAGGTGTACAACAAGTGTGACAAACACAGGCGTCGACATCCAATAAGACAAAAGAAATGTATGCAGGACAACAGAAATATTAATTAATGACTAAAGATCACTTCTTATCATCTATTTTATTTCCCCTGTCAAGTAGAATCCCAGAAAACAGTATGTCATAAAGGCTCTATAAATAGAAGATCAGAATTGGTTCCTAATATCTATTCTGTCAAATGATTTCAATCAAAACAATGGAAGCTACATACACACAGCCTATTTTGATGTAGGTGACTCCTGAGAAGTGTGTGTGTTTAGGCCTCTGAACTTTTTTCTCATCAATGCTCCCAGAGTGCTGAAGGCTACAGATGTGATATGTGGCCTTCAGTACTCTTTCCAGGGTGCGTCAGAAGTGACTTCCTCCCAAGGCCCTTCATACCAAGCCACAACTGGACCATGAATGGTCAGATGTTGGGCCTGGGCTGCCTCCCATTACTGGGCACCTGATGTCTTACAGATCTCCCAGGGCGCCAGACTTGGTGGGAAGTGCAGGGTGTGCAAGTCGTAGCTGCGCCCCAATTCCCGTCTCAGTCTTTGGACACGCAGACTCCAGAAGGCATCATTTAGTGACACCTTTGGCAGGCCCGATGACAACTTTTCTGAGCCTCTAATAATACCTCTTCTAGAGGGTTGCCCTGAGGATTAAATGGGCTCATGTCTGTGAAGGAACCTAATCACAATGCCAGGTACTTTTTAACAGGTGCTCAAAAACAACAACAGAAAGGTGAGATGATGACTATTACCCACAGGTTCTGCAGCATGCCACCTAGGAGGAAATTCAACTTGTTCAGTGCAACTCCTGATTCAGATGCTCCAGGGAGGAGCTTGAGTGAGACTTTCCAACCAACTCCCGGGGTGCCCTTTCTGCTGTTTGCCAGACCATACTTTGAAGGGTAAGAGATTAGGTTATTTAATCAGTTGTGCCTGAGGAATATTAAAATTAGGTGGGTAATTTCCCACATATTCTTATGGATTCTATGGCCAACTAGTCATTTTTGCACTTCTCAAAGCATCACTACCAAAACAAGGAAAATATGTTTAAAAATATTAAAGACAGGCTGGGTGTGGGGACTCATGCCTGTAATCCTAGCACTTTGGGAAGCCATAGTGGGAGGACTGCTTGAGCCCTGGAATTCAAGACCAGCCTAGGCAACATAGCGAGAGCTCATCTCTACAAAAAATAAAAGAATCAGCTGGGCATGGTGGTATGCATCTGTAGTCCCACCTACTTGGGAAGCTGAGGCAGAAAGATCACCTGAGCCCAGGAAGCGGAGGCTGTGGTGAGCCGAGATCATGCCACTGCACTCCAGCCTGGGTGACAAGGTGAGACCTGACTCAAAACATATACTAGAGACATAATATACTTGCTACCTCTAATGGAAAAGTAACAACTTTTTAACATAGGTAAGATTCAGAAGCACTGCAAGTAGGGTAGTTTTTAAAAAGTTGAAGCAATATTCACATTTTTTTTAAAAGATGAAAGGCTACATAGATGGCTCATAGGTGAAAACCACCCTTTTACTAGATGTGAGAATCTTGATGTCCGACAGACCCATAGTTGGCAAACAGCATGAAACTGAAGGAAAACACAAACTGAGAAAAGCCATTAAATCACACAGCTACACCAAAAACTGAATTAAATGTCAAAGATCACCCCAAACCTAAATTCTTATTCACCAATGAGCTGAGTGTAGAAATCTGAGATTAGAAGGTTCAAGAGTAACTTCCTTGCTCTAACAAAACAGTCCATAGAATGAATGGAGTTTGCAGAAGGAATATTTTCATCTGACTTTGCAGTAGACTGTCAAAATCAGAGCTGTGATTTCAAGTTCACGACCTCATAGTAATGTTCCCAGAGGTCTCCAAATCAAATCCTTATCATGAAGTCCCTCCATGTACATGCCATGCTTCTGCATCCAAATGACATCTGGCCCCTGCTGGAATATCGCCACTGATTCTGAGCCAAGAAGAGTCACTGTTTCCTGGGGCAAGCCAGTCCCTCTTCAGACTGTTCTGTTAGAAAGGGCTCACTTACATTAAACTGAATCTTGCCTTCCAGGAACATCCGACCATTGCTGCTTATTCTGCCCTTGCAACCATACAAAGTGAATCTAATTTCTCGACATGACAGCTCTTCAAATACTTGAAGAAAGTTAATCATAGGCTTTCCAGACTTCTCACAAGCAACTATCCCTGGGGTGCCTCAATTATCCCTCTTAACACACAATGTCCTGTCTTGGCCATTGGCTCACCATAGAGTCAGGCGGTCAGTCTCGCTTAATGCCTCGTGCCCAGGATTAAAATCAGTACACCTGGTATTGTCTGCATACCTCAGGGTAAAATGGTAACACCCTTTTGCCCAATCTCCACAGGATACCCGACGACCCAGCCCACAGTCACAGTAAGCTCCAGCAGCCAGATCACATCCTGGAATCACATTTAATGAAAATCTACATCACCCCAACTCTGCATTGCACAGGAAGATTTTTTTTTTTTTTGAACAGTTGGGCAATATGAGAGTACATTCCTTTTGACCCCAAATTTCATGTCTAGGAAATATCCCAAGGCGTTAGTAAGTTCATCAAAGATTTGGCAAGTCAGAAAAGGGTCTGTAATGAGTTATGGAAATTTTAAATACTGTACAGTCTTAATTTTCTAGAGTGACTATGTATTACTTGTGTAAAAAAGTAAAATGGGGAGGGGAAAAAAGAGAGAAAGAAAAAGAAAAAAAAAAGAACGAAAATTGGGAAGGAAGGAGAGACCATTCTCTTGAAATATGTAATATTATATCACACTTATCTTTATCACATAAAATATATCACTTTATCTAATTGCTCTGATAAAGAAAAAACACATTTTCTATCTTGTATACAAAATATATCACAAAAGATGTTACCAAACTTCTTGTCAAAACACAAATTCATAAATGACTGTATTTTACAAACTGATTCTAGAATCTAATCTGAAATTAGCATCACCTCTAGAATTCGGACAACCTCTCCCATAGCCAAAATTCCTCAGCTAACTAATAATCAAACTATAACTTAAAGCTTGGAAGTTCTCATGTCTAGTTTGAGTCTCATTCTTTATTTTGTAAATTAGAAAGTATATTTACATATCAAAATATTGAGGTATATTTTATATCTCATAAAATTCACCCATTTCACGTATACAAATCAATTAATTTTAGCAACTTTACTGACTGATAAGATTATCACCAAAAATAAGTTTCAAGACATTTTTATCCCCCAATAAGATCCCTTATGCCATTTATAGTGACTTGCTTTCTCCACCCTGAGCCTCAGGCAGCCATGAATCTACTTTGTATAAATTTGCCTTGCAGTAACTTTCATGTAAATGAAATCACACAATATGTGGTCTCTTTTGTGTCTGGCTTTCTTTTATTTAGTGTAACGTTTTGAGGTTCATCCACGATGCAGGTTGTGTCATTCCTTCTTTCCTTTTGAGCCCCATTCTTTCTCACAGAAATAATCTTAGGCACCAGTCAAAAAGGCCCCATCAGGCCATGCCAGACACTTTTACCTTGAAGGTAAAAGGGGATGTGTTTCGTGAACACTTCATTATAAACGTCTTTGTAGGTACCCACACTTAATTTCACTGATGGTTCTAGAACCTTATTCTTTTGATTAAAAACTGGCCTTTTGGTTTGCTATCCCTGCAGAGAGTTAGAAGCCGAAGTATGTCTTTGGGCCGGACACCATGTTGGGTGTACTCTCAGGTGCCTGTAGCTAATGGTAGGTGGGATGTGGAAAAGCAGGTGGGAGGGACAAGAAAAAGAACCACCATGTGGTGAAAAGTGAAATAGAAATCCAAGCACTTTATTACAAAGAGTGCAAATGGAATAATGGATCCAATGGAGCAAAGAAAATGATGCACTTGTACATTCCAAGTACAATATAAAGTCACACAGTAGGGCAAAGATCGGTCCAGAGTAGGGGTTTTGGATGGAGCCTAGAGATAGTTGCTGGGCTTCAAAAGACCCCTATGTGCATGACGCTGTGGGCCTGGGAGGGTAGGAAGCCCTTCAAGGAGCTGGGCCAGGCTAGACTTCTGCATCACTCAACTTGGACCAGCAAGAGAACAGGAACAGAAGCTGGGTATTTTGGCACATCTTCAGCCATCCTGTCGGAAAAGGCCAGCAATATGGCGACGGCTCACAGAATGGCACGAAAGAGAAAGCAGGGTGGGAACAAGGCACCATGAGGTCGTCCTCCTCTGGCATGCAGTAGCAACAGGACTTCAGGCAACTCCCCCAACCTGAATTGAGACTCAAATTCCTTATCCATCATGGAGATTGTACATCCCCAACTACTCACAAGGTCAAAGATCATGAGAATAAAAGAGATCATGATCAGGAAGCCATCTTCTAAATACTGAAGTAGCACACATGAGTGAGGTGTTATTCATATTAC